AGCAAACCACCACCACGAAGAGAAGAAAAAGAGAGGGGAAAAACATTAAGAAGAGAGGCCGAACTGTCTTTGAATTCAAAGGCTGGAACAGATTGGTTAGCGCTGGATAAACAGACAATCACCCAGCCCAGAAAAGTCCCTCCCAGTCATACAAACCACAGACAAAATGTGGTGTTGCAAATAAATTTGCAACAAGATATAGGGATGATACAGTGCTTCACCTTATTGGTGCTAGAGTTTTTTTATGATATTGCCTGGCCACTATCACCATATGAAGAATTTTCTTACGATATACTCTACCCTTCAATACTGGGGGGGGGGGGAAGGTTGCTGTTGTGAAAGTTGTCAATTCTAGCCACATGGACATCATTTTTATCTTAGTTTATCAAACTGAACAGCATGTTTGATTTTCCTTTTGAATCAAGGAAACAATTTGTACCATGTGTACAAAGTCAGATAACTGAATCACACCGAAATAGACTGCTCCAACTTCACTTTCCCACTGTACTAACTCCTGTTCACTCCTTTCAGTTCTCATAAACCTACCTGGTAGCTGAGACTGACACGGAGACCTTCTTTCTGATGATGGTTCCCACTTGCAGTAGGACAGCTTTTTCTGTGGTTGTGCCTCACCTGTAGCATTTCCTTCCAAGGGACTCCTTGAGGTGCCAAACAAAGCCTGTCCTGTTTACTTCATCTTTTATTTAACTCTGCTGCTATTCATTTAACTCTGGTGGTTTAATTCAACTGATTATAATGTTCAGTTTATTTCACTATGCCAGTCTGACTTGGCTGATCTGGAAGTGGTTTAAAATTGGCTGAATTAATTAATTGCTCATTGTGTCATTCATTTTTGCATTATAGCATGCCAGTTTTTTTGTTCTCTTTTATAGCAGTCTGTTTTTAAAACAGTCCTTGCATGCCACTTGGAAGGTAAGGGGTGTTCAAACTTCTAAATATACTGGTACAATATATTCAATATATCAGTATATATCAGCACAATATAATTTTGATTCTAATTTTGATGATTTTTTTTAAGAGAGGGAGAAGCAGAGGAGAAACTGAGGCATGCTCAATGGGGTTAGAGCTAGGAATACAAAATCTTGTCTGATACTTTTGCCTGCCTGCAAATTACAACACAGAAGCTTCAAAAGTGCTTTCAAATAACACACATTCTCCCTTTCTTCTTGCAGCTTTTATGTTGAAAATCTCCACTACAATTTATTTTTATTTATATTTATTTTATTTATATCCCGCCTATAAGACCACTCTAGGCAACCTCCCCCCCTCCCGTATTGAAGTGTAGACTATACGTTGATGGTATACATTTCAATAGATTCTGTACTTATTGATCATTAAAATTTTGTTTTCATTGGTGGTTCTAGCAGAAGACATTAAAGATTTCCAGATGGATTCAAGCTTGTTTCTTGATTCAAACAATATAGTCCTTTCCATAACAACATGTAATTATAGTGTCTTGTATATAACTTATTTGCATCTAACTAACATTTAAGAGTTCAACACCATCTCTCTCAGAATGTAACTTTATTTTCTCTGTGAATCTTTGGTGATTTCCTCAACACTCTAACTTTTTCTCTACTACCTACATTCACAGGCCTCACTTATCACAAAGGTCACTATGCTGCCTCTGGCTTGAGTTGCACATGATATGCTATAAATTTGCCTGTGGAGAACAGAATGCTGACTGTTATGACTGCCTCCACTTCAAAATGTATGACTCCACCAATCAGCTCACTTTACTCTGCCCCAGCTTAAAGTGCTGCTTTAGCAGGATTGTGGAAGGAGAACTGCCTAATTAACATTGTACTAAGTAATCCCTGTTAAAACAAAGGAGGTTACTCAAGAGCTTCTTCAAGGATTAAGACCTAAGCCTGGGCACAGAAACTTTGGCCCTCCAAAAGTCTGAGATGACAACTCCCACAATCTGTTACGATTTATCATGCTAGTTGTGGAAGATGGGATTTGTAGGGTGAAAGTTTCCCTGCCCTGATCTAAATCAATACATATGAGCAATGAAACTGGTTAACTGTTTAAGGACCGTTGAATCTCTGCTTAATGTCCTCTTAAATTTGGGTCACCTTCTCAGACAGAAGTTTGCAGAACTCTAAAATCTGCACAGTTAATGCAAAAGGAGGGAAAAAAACGTGCTACAAGGCATGTTTATACCACCACCTAGTGTGTCCTATGCCACATTGCAGCTGAGCTGGTCTCCAATAAATGGCTACATTTAAAAATACTGATGACTCATATTGAAGGAAAATGAAGAATTCCAGGGAGACCAACCTAGGAGGCCTACCCCCTCCACATCCATTATTTCAGACACATCTTATTATTCTTCAGAGTTCAGAACTAGATACATATTTGTTTAATAACATGAAATCTGCTGGGTGAGGATATGCATGCGACTATGACTCAGCTGTGGTATTTGTTCTTAGATGTTAAATACATTTCTTTATTTCTTTGTTTATGTAAAATGTTTTTCTCCTGTCTTTCTCCTTTAAAAGAACCCAAGATAGTATATATAATTAAAACGACAATATTTAAAAGCTAAAAAAGTAGGCATACAAATATTTCAAAAGAATTAAACAAGTTTTACATTAAAAATGATAATAAAATCAATACTAAAACACATTTAAAACAACAGAGCCCAATAATCCACTTTAAAACCCCTCTCAAATCACCAGTTACTAAGGGAAAGTCTGCATGAAGAGAAAGGTCTTTGCCTGCTTGTGGAAGGACAGCAAGGATGGGGCCAGTCTAGCTTCCTGTGGGAGGGAGTTCCACAGTCCGGGAGCAGCAACAGAGAAGGCCCACTTCCATATCCCCACCAAGCACACCTGTGAGGGTGGTGGGACCAAGAGAAAGGCCTCACCTGATGATCTTAATGCTTCAGCAGGCATATAGAGGGAGATGCAGTTTTTTAGATAGCTTGGCCCCAAGCCATTTAGGGCTTTTTCAGTTAAAACCAGCACTTTGAATTGTGCCTGGAAATGAATTGGCAACCAGTGAAGCTGCTGTAATAGGGAGATCACGTGATTTCTGTAACTAGCTGCCACCGCAATCTGGCTGCTGCATTTTGGACCCTCCCATGAAGTGAGGTTGGTCTCTAGAACAACTGTGGTGAGTGGTACCATTATGGACTCAAACCATACTGAGTATTGGCCAGCAATTATTTAATTTGACCTCTGGAAAAGCTAATAGTATTGAGGAGAGGAGGCTTGTGGAGCCTCAAGCAACTGAATTACCTCTAGATAAACAATTCCTACACTTTTTTGCATCACACCCCCTTTTTGATTTTTGAGAAACTTTTATTCCTTCTGAGCTCTCCTCTACCAACATTTATCCCCCTTTCAACAACAACAAAAAATTCAGTGTATAATTTAAAATGGAACTTAGCAATTTTTTCAAAGTTAATATAAAACCAGGTCTGCGCTCCAACTACAAAGGCTGAAGAAAAAGAAATCAAAGGTTTGTAGACAAGTGTCTGGGATGAAATTGATCACACACACAAAGAGCGGGTGTGTTGATAATCACAGAGGGCTAGAACTCAATAAAAGTAAATACTATCAGAACCAAACATTTTTGGAAAACTTGGACTAGGGGTTTGAAATGAAGCAGAAGAGCAATTCACTGAATTCTGTGCATCCAACAATTTGTTATTGCCAATAGATAATTCAGACAGCCAAACAAAGGACTGTGCATGTGGACATTACCTGGTTTACTTAATTAGCTGGAAGGACTCTGATCTTTTATTGCTTTGTGTCTCTCCTTCTGAGTCTCCTCTGATTGCTCTGTCGATTTTGTTGTACATGTGCTGACTTCAGATGGAGGGAACATGATCGCTGCTATCATGGCATCTGACCAACCATCTCGCTCTGCAGCTTCACTGGTACAACTTCCTTAAATTATCAGTTTCATACTATGTTCTTACTTCCATGGAGGTGTTTGTATGGGTGATTCCTCCCCCCTTGTCTTAGGTGCCAAAATAGAACAGTGCACCTTGACATGGAAGGTGAACAGCACCACTGACTGCATAATGTCAGGCAGCCAAATGTATTGGGCTGGTCCTGAACCCTAGGGACCATTCAGGCTTTAAAATACGTACATATTGGTCAGAATGTGGTTGGCAAGTGTGATCTTAGAACTGCAGAGCTGGAAGGGACAACACTGTGGATCACTGAGTCTAGCCCAGCAAGGAGGCACAGTGGGGAATTGAACTCCCAAACCTCTGACTCTGCAGACAGATACTGCGCTACTCAGCAATTTTATTCCCCACACCAACTACATTCACTAAACATCATATGTCACTGGAAAAGCATGCTTCTCTTTAGCCACCTTTTCAATGAATAACATGATTTCACCATGAGAATTAATGATTTCTTTGGGCATCAAAAGAGAATTAGTGAGGCTTCTTTTGAGCTTGCACCTCAGTGTCAGCTAATGACATAGTGAGGATGTACCTGTTTCGGAATTCAGATAGAGCCCTACTTATCCAGCCACACAAACTAGAGCACTCTGAAAAGCTTGGAAATGAACTTCTAAGATCAGTATAATGGCATACTGAAGCCCTACTGTTGTTGCTATAATAAAACAAAGGAAGTCTGATCGAGTTCTTCTCCTGCCATAGGCGGCCCCCCACCAGGCGTGGGAATGAAGGACAGAGGCCGACTAAAAACTTTAACAGGTTCCTTTTTATTATTTAACACTTCTTGCTGAACCACTTCAAATGGGTCAATCAAACTTAACTCAGGCAGAACGTTGTAACTCCAGACCCTCACTTCAGGCATTGTCCAGTCACTCCTCACATCGGGGCTGGCCCAAACCGCTCGCGATCCGTCATCGGCCTCAATGGGGTGCTCCATACCACGCAGATCATCCCACAACAGGGGTGTCTCACTCTGTCCCCTTTGTGTGGCTGCTGGAGTAAAGAGGGACTGGGACGAATCACCCTCCTCCCTCCATGCTGATTGTGTGGGTACATGACCACAGTCCATTCTACAGGCTCTAACTCTCCCTTTGCAACATTACTCTCGATGGGATCTGGCACTAAGCCTCTTCCAGTATGGAGATTCGGGAACTCTTTTAACAGTCCAGTTAAATCTTCCCGCTCACCTTCTTTCTCTGTCTGTACTGCTTTATCTTTCTTTTTTCCACCAGGTTCGTTCGTCATTCTCAAAGCGCATGCATTTCCCCCCCACATTTATCACCTCCTACCAAGCAATCAAATCATGCTCCTTCCCCTTGTCGTTGGCCAAGCAAACCTCTAACACCTCTACCCTCTCTCTCCCTTCTTGCTCTATTTCCACCAGCACCCCCTCTATGCAACCGCGGTCTTCTTCAGGGGTGGATGTCTTGGAGGATGGCACACTGGTGGCTCCTTGCTCACAGGAAGAAAATCCCAAACACATTCAAAGACTTGGTCAACATCACATCTAGTTTGACAGTCAAGAATTGTAATGAATGGCCTTTGGATTTCACACAGCCAAAGTCTCCTCGTCCCTACATGTACCATGCCCCCAATTTCTATCCCTTCCCTTGATGTCAAACAAGGGATAGGGATATGTCCTTGAGGGCAGGGACAGAGATCTGTGAAGGGTATTTCTTTTCCAAGATTGAGCTCTCCACTCTAGATGGAGGATTTTGAATCTATCCTGTTGCCTCAGGGTTCCATTTGGGGATTACAGGATTGCACTGTTGTTACTGTTATGTGCTGTCAAGTTGCCTCCGACGTATGGTGACCCTATAAATGAGTGATCTCCAGCTCATCCTATCATGAACAACCCTGCTTAGCACTATTAGTAACTAAGAATAAAACTTAACATCTCACATGATTTTAACTAGCAGTTTGGACATCCACTAAATCAGGCTTGTCCAACCTGCGGCCCGAGGGCCGCATGCGGCCCAGGTCAGCTCGTAATGCGGCCCAGTGCAATTTTTTATTTTTAAAGAAATTCCAAAGTTTCAAGTTACACTGCCGACGCTTGCGGCCGGGGCACGTCACAAGTTTCAAGTTACACTGCCGACGCTTGCGGCTGGGGCATTTTAAAGAAATTCCAAAGTTTCAAGGGAAGGAAGGAGTGGGAGGGGAAGGGACAGGGGGGCTGTGTGACTGCATTGTGCCATCCCCGTAAATAGGTGGACCCCCTCCCGGCCCCATAAAGCCGCCGGAGTTGAAGCTGGCAGCCTCTGCTATCTGAGATCGCAGCTGCCGGTAAGCGCACTTGGAGCGGGGCTATGGAGGACGGCTAGGGCTGCTCCCCTTGCAGCACAAACCAAATTTATGTGCGGCCCAAACCAAATTTTCATCTTCTAATGTGGCCCAGGGAAGGTGAAAGGTTGGACACCCCTGCACTAAATGATACAGATGCTGTTATTGGGGACACAGAAAATTACCACTTTTCAAAGAAACAACATTTTTATTCATTTAGAAATTAGTTATCTAAAACTATCAGAAAGCTATAGCTACGAAAAGTCACCCAAATCTTCAGTATAGCAGAAGTCTGCAACATTACTTTTAAGGAGAATAAATACAGTAACATGCAGCGACCATCCATAACTGGAATCATCCTATTGCTGTTCAGTTTTAAGTAGCTTTCATATCTCACAATACTTTTTTCTTTAAAGTAACTTTCCATTCAGGCCTGGTTTTGATGGCTAGGTTGGAGGACACACCACTTGCTTGCAGATTTTTTCTTAATGTTAATAATATACAGAGGGTTTTTTGTAAAAAAAATCTGATATTGCTGATATTGTACCTGAAAAACTAGAACAGCATAATAGTTTTGTTAGAATCCTAAAACTTTGTCCAACACCAATGCTAATACTATTCCAGTTACCATATCTATTTTTGACAGTAAAATTAATACTCATGGTGGAGAAAATGCTTGCTAAATTGCCCTCATGTATTATCACCCTAAAGGCTCCTATTCAAATTTCCCCTTTGAATAGTTAAATCGTAATAATTAATCATTACATTTAGGATGTGCCACTCTTCTGTCAAAAATGCGTTCCTCCCCCCAAAAAAACCTTCAAATATTTTGAGAGCATATTACCCATGAGCATTACTTTCTTCTTCCATCAGTTTATTGCTGACTATGGAAGATGAGACTGAAGTTTCCTTCTCACATGCTACCAGACAAACAGTGGGAAACAGCCCATTTATTTATAGATATAGATCTTAAAAACTTTCATTGGGGATCCCAGGATTAGTTCATGTAGACCAGTGGTTCTTAACCTTTGTTACTTGGATGCTTTTGAACTGCAACTCCCAGAAACCCCAGTCAGGACAGCTGGTGGTGAAGGCTTCTGGGAGTTGCAGTCCAAAACTCCTGAGTAACCCAAGGTTAAGAACCAGTGATGTAGACCATTAAAAGGCTACATAGATTGACTACAAGCTATAATTTGTAAGAAGGGAGTATCTTCTTGCTTATGGATTATTTTGAAGTGACACCCTCCACTCAAACAAGTCTATATGTGGACCAGAGGGATATGATAATTGGCACCTTTCAAAAAGCTTGAGTCACTGCAATCATGCTTCCAATTAAAGAGCACTATTTAGACTATGATTACTAAATTACATTTAGACATGTGTGAATCTTTCAAGAGGAATTCCAGTTTCCAGTTCTTACTTCCTGCAAGCAATTCCCAATGTTTCACAATGCTGCAGTTAAACTGCTGACTGGTGCTGGGTACAGACAGCATATAACTAACTCCCTTATTACAATAGGTTCACTGGCTGCCAGTCTTTTCTGGGCCCAAATCAAACTGGGGGTTATTACCTATGGTATAAAGTCTTATGCTGCTTGGGTCCAGACTCTTAACATCCCGTAGGAGCCTACGGGGTCTTTAAGATACTCTGTGGAGGGCCTTATCTTGGTTCCAACACCTTCCCAAGTTTGTTTGGTGAGGACACGAGAGAGTGGCTATCCCCTGGCTTTGGAATGCTCTGCCCTGAGAAACCAGGTTGGTCCCCTCCCTTTCGTCCTTCCATAATCAAGTAAAGAGTTTTCAGGCAGACTTTTGAGTGGAAGTCCATGGAATGCTGCATTTATTAAATACAGAGATTTTTTAATGTTTTAAAATTGCCTTTAATACTGGTGTTAATGTGTAATTGCTTAATTGACCCTTTCTTCATCCTCCACATTAACCTGTGGAAGAATTTTAACTCAGATTTCTTTTAGGACTCAGTAATGCTGCTGCTACTTGTTCCCAAATCAGGAGCCTTTCAACAGTTACCCTATTATTTCCTTATACTGCTCCCTTGCTGAACTATGGCCAAGCACTCCTATGGAGAACTGTTGATGGATATTTCCTGTCTTTGAAAAACCAGATGCTAGCCATCATCTAGACAAGGTGAATTCACTAGACATCTGCCTCTGTGATGTATTGAGGAATACATTACAAAAAGAGTTTTGTACACCTCAGGGGACATGCCACTGATTTTCACTTTAACACTCTTAATAAATGCATAAATATCGTGCTGGGTGGCACTAACCTAGATAACAAACTCTCCATGTCAAGGGTGGAGAAATGATGACCGTTTAGATAATCTGTACTCCAGATCCCCTCACATCTAGCCAGCATGGCTAACTGTGAAGTATGATGGCAGACAAAGGGTGCAATCAGCTGGGCATTTGTCCCACTGTATGGTCTACTGCGGGGACAGGTGGCTTGCTCCTTTTTCTGGTGATCCGACAATGTAATTCCTGTAGCAAACCACTCCCCCTCAGAGTGTTTCCACCTACATCTTTCTGGGCCCTGTCAGGAGCTACTCCTTTTTTGGTGCAAATAGAAACATTCTGTTTGGTTTGTTTCTAGCACACGCAATCACTAGGATCAAACAAATGTGAGCTTCGTACTTCAATCTCCCAGCTGATTTCAAAACCCCATATAGTAGAATAAACAGATATCGTAACCATTTAATCATATGGGGAAATTGTGAAATTAAATAGGGAAATTAAAACTTCCTTCCTCTGTTCCTCTACAGAGCAGGGAAGGAAGCAAATATATACAAATCAAGCAAATATATGCCCCA